TTCTTTTTTTCGGTCTTTCTCGAAATCTTGAACCTCATTTAACTTGTTTAAGGGTTCAATTCACAGAACAAAAGCTTTTCTCTATTTTGATTTTCTTTGGTTATCTTTGTTAAGTGCACACCAAAATGATAAATGACTTGTGATGGTTCATTGAAAATATTTTTCAAAGAACAGTACTCTGAATGAAGATATTTTCTAGAAGAAACTAGGTGAAGGCTTTGAAACATCTAGTTCTTCTGTGTATCTTTGCGAACAAACATTTCCGGTATTTTGTTATTCAAAGAACAAGCATAGAAATGTGAGAAGAATAATTGTTCAGGGCAAAAAGAGAGACATAATGTTTACCATCACATTTAAATTGAATAGCTGTTAGACATGTTAAAAGTTAGTAAAATTAAAATTGTTTTTAAATCTCGCTGTTTTTAAATCTCTACCCTAAAAATTTATTTCAATTATTTACATAGGTAATTACTGTACAGATATCAAAATTTTCATCAAAATAAAATTTGCTTTTATTCGCATACGAGCTATTTGATGAGATGAAAATTTCACCAGACAAACATTCGAGGAATGCCGCGAGACTGGTTGAAAAGTAATGCGAACAAACACGCCGTTGCAAAATATTCCTCTGTTTTTCCAATCACGACGACGCAATTAGCGCCGTAATTAGCGCGGCGTTACGTGGGCGTTCGAGAACGCGATGAAAATAAATATAAACGACGCACGCGGACCGACTGAGCGGCGTCAACTTCGCGTGGTGGCCCTCCTTAAACTTGATTTGTGCTCAATTACCGCGGTCCTTCGCCGCCCTCGTGTCCTCCACGCGTTAGCAAAAGCCAAATGCGAGACGCGCGTTTGCGGGCGTCGCGACAATTTTATTTATACGCGACGCGAACGGAAGACAAAAAAAAGCGGAAAAGAAGGCGCGAGAAAAGGAGGAACCGGAGAAGCAAAGAAGACGTACTCCGTCGCCGATGCATCTCTGATACACATCACGGAGAAGAGTCGCGCAATTCGTTTCGCGTTTTATGTTATATCCGTTCACCTTTTTTCGCATCCCGAATCATCGCGGCGCGTCGTTTGGATTCTCCCCAGCGCGTGTACAGGCTCGTTCGATTCATCCCCGTGGAAAACGACGGTAACCTGGATTATTTCGATCTTCGCTCTCGCTAAAGTTAGCCGAAGAGATTACCGCGGCGCGACACGATTTCATCCACGACGAGAGAAAGAGGAGGAGGAAGAGGGAGAGCTCGGTGAGCTCGGGGGTTGCGGATTGCGACGCGACTACGTCGCTTAAATATCACGGTAAACAGGGCCCGATGTAATTCGGCGCAGGTGCCACGTGGAAACATCTATCAAGATAGCGAGATTGGGGGCGTGAGACACACAGCCCGTTTCCCTCGTCGAGAGAAAGGGCGGAAGGAGAGAGAGTTGGGGTGGATCAACTCGAAGAAACGGGGGATTTCCGCGGGACAGAGAAGGACTAAGCTTTCACGGGACGGCTCTACTCTACGTCGTCTTAACCCTTTCCAGCTAATACCGGATCGCAGGGAATTAACGGCCGCCGCGCGACGACGATCGTGTCTTCGAATACCTCTCCTCGAAGTAAGTGTGGTTGGCTGTCTAATAATTTACGAGCTCTGGAAATATCGCGCGCGGAATTGTCTCGCGGGGAGACTTTATCGAAAAACGATTGTCATCGCAAAAAGTATTTTAGAAATTCGATAAATTTTTAAAATATATAAAGCGTAGCTTTGCGATGGTGTACGTGTAAAGCGATATCAACGATTTACATGTTTTATAGCTAATAATAGATTGTAAACTTATATAGGGAATACGACGATGTTTAATGTCATGTATGTGTAATCATTTACAAGTGAGAATAAATACGCAAATATTCCGTCAGTTTATATCGAAAAACGATATTAAGAAAAGATTACGAGAATAAAAAATTATTAAAATGCGAAGAAACTCGCAAATATGTAGTTGAAATACATATTTCGCTATAATATAATCTACAAGCGTTGAAAATATCACGGTACTTTGCCTGGAAACTTTATCGTTGTTGCGCAATAAAGTAACGATTCGAAAACGCAATTTCACGACGGCCGGTAAGCGATTTGACGAGATTTCTGCGCTCGGGAATAATTAACTCGTGGTTGCGTAAGCAGGCTGTAAGACGAGAGACCCAAGACTCTGCGACAATGTGCGGCGAAATTCCACCTTAAGTGGAAACGCATACTTAAATTTATTATTACGACGCGTAATGGCCGCGAGCGGCGATTTTTATTAATTACCGCCATTACAGATATACCCGAGGACTACATTCCTGAATCCGTAAATTGTCAGCGTACCGAAGATGGCCGTAAAGTGTCAGTTATCTCTCTTGCGCGCGCGCCTGTCTCATCGTTTCTCTCGTCGTCGCTTTTAGACGCGCATCGGATTCGTTTCGTAATCCGCTTGTCTCGTTCGTATTCACCGAGAGATATCCCCGCGAACTACCTACACTAATGACGAGCGATTCGCGATGTGACAGTACCGGCGATTACGTTAACGGCCGTAAATATGCACCCCGCTCGTTAACGTAATCGCGCTGCACTTATCAGTCACACCTGCGACAACGGCGACGAGATATCTTCGCGAAATGTCCTCGAGAGTGAGAATACGAGCCTACCTATTTACCGGGTCGCCGGAATGTTAACGATCTCGAGACTGTAACAAGATGTTTTCCTCGCAAAGATCGAAATCTAATACTAACGAGAAAAGAACACCAAGATGGAAAAGAAGAATCGCGATCACATTATCATCAATTGCAAACGATTCGAATATCAATGATACGAAGAAATGGAAACTGACTAGCAATAAGACTTCTCGAAAGGAAAACGGAAAAGAGAATTGTCGAGCGTGCAGTCCCGACACTGACGGTCCAGATACGAAAATCGTAAAGTCGCTACATAATAGCGGCTAGTATAATATAATATTCAGCGCGAGGCACTTCGCGCCGAGATTAAAAGTGCATAAAGAGCGAGCGGCGCATAAACGTTTTACAAGCTCTTCACCTCTTCACAGCCGCGAGAGCTATACGAGCGAAATATTATTTTAAACGTTTCGCGTTACGCCAGAGCGCCTACGTTGCGTCGGTTCGTTCGACATTGTTAAGATGCGTTTGTATTATACGAGAGCGCAGAGCACGCGCACCTTCATTGTAATGCGAACGGATGATCGAGGGCGAACAAACTCGATTTTTCGAGCAAAAGCGTCTTTTACAACATAAACCTGCACAGTAAATCACAATATAAATTGTGTAATTCTTCGGAAGCAAGTTTTAACATTTTAATATTTTTTTTTTTTTTTAATTTTATATTATCACTGTTACTTATATTACTGTAATGCTATTGCATTATATACTTGATATGATTTTTTTATTTTTGTGTCTAAATTGGAGCAAAAACAAATGAGAGAATGTGTCAATCATTCGATTGAAGGAAATAATAAAAATATTTAAAAAATACATATTCTTGATTGTTGAAATTTATTATATTGAAGTGAATTACTCTTGGGTGCGAGCGAGTGAATTGTATGGGAAAATGCGCGATTCACATTATGCAAAATTACGTAACCCGATATTTCCGTTCAACGATGATGTTTCCGATTAGTCGTAAACGATTCCGGAATAAATTTCGTTTTATCGGAGACCGGGAATGATCTCTTCGCGGCGGTGTTAGTTCAGGCAGTGGGCTGAAATGTAAAGCGGAATTCAGCACGGATCCTGCTCTTTAATGACGGTATTTTATAACTCACTTGGATAAGAGCAAACGGCGATTTACATCTTTTTTATGGATACCTTTTACCTTCTCTGTTTCTCAATCTTATACGTTATGAAACTGTTGCTCGCTTTTAGATGATACAATCTCGTTTTTACTTTCCTGTATTTCTCTAATAACCGACTATTTTCTAGTTATTCACGCAACACGCAATAAGAATCGCTCTTTCTTCTATTTATAAAAAATCATCATCATTAATTACATCGCGATCTCTTTTAACGCGATGGGAGACAAGAAACAATTAGTACTCTATCCGATTCTGTGTATAACTGTCTATTCAATTTTTTTTTTCTATATGGAGATGATAAAGATTCTATAAATTTCACAATACAAATACACACTCATCGAGATTACGCAATAGCTGCAATGCAAAACTGTCGATGACGCACGATATCGAAACGGATTAGAAGTCAGAAAACCGCTGTCGTTGCAATCTGCGCTCCTTTGCAATAGAGGGAGAAAGAGAAGGGGAAAATGGAAAGACACAAATTACGATAAATTTCGAAATTCAGCACGATCGTTCGACTCGTCTCTCGCTCGAACTCGCTGACACGTGTATGGCTATACTACATCGTTTGTATTCGCGTGATTGGCGCGCTGAAATAATCAGCTCGTTGCAACGTCAACGTGCGATTGCCGGGGTTCCGGTCGTGCACGCCTCGTTCCGTTTGATGTACGGGCGTAATTTCAGGGTGTCTGGAATTCGCATATGACACGTGCGACGTGCCGTATGATTCGACACCCGTCCGCCACTCTCATGCCCGCCGGTCTAGAAAAAGTTTCTCTCGCTTGGCATACATACACGACGAGCTTTCGATCGTCATATCGTTCGGGAAGACTCGATCTCGTGACCGATAGATAAATTTGTTTACACTCACGAGCACGCGAAAAGAGTCTGAACACACCCTATAAAATTCCCGATTATCGCGAGTTTCCCCGATGACAAATGTTCGGAATGAAATATATGTGCTTTATAGTTTTCAACACAATTTGTTTTATTCCGGTGGTGTATTTCAGATTTATCGAATCTTTTTTAATCGCAGATAATATTAAAGCTAACAAGCAAGATGAATTGAAAGTTAAAAGATTTTTTTATACGACCTTTTTCTAAACCAACAGGTATCTAATATTGAATATTTAAATGCGTATAAAATGTTGTAGAGATAATTTACTCACCAGTTGTTAACTTGAAGGATCGTCAACCCCGTGTCCTGTGCCAACTGTTTTTTCTGGTCTTCCGAGGGATATGGATGCTGCAAGCAGAAAGAATAAATCCGTTCCATTAACGATGAAATTGAGCATGAACGATCTCACGTACTTAAGTAACGATGCGAGAGCCAAGAAGACTCTCAGGCGTCAATTAGCGCGAAACTGCCGACGAGAGATCGCAATTATTAAATACTAACCCTGACAGAGCAGTTATGTTGAAGCGGAACAATTAGCGAACGAGTAAAACGCGCGGATAAAGAAAAAAAATTCCTCCTCTCACTCTGTCTCGCTCTCTACCATCGCTTCATCGTCTCGTTGACGAACGCGGGACTTTCAAACAATTTATCGAATGATTTATCGTGTATACCGAGGTAAGTACATAGAACAACACATAGTATGCCGCGCGCGGACTTTTATCTGCGCGACGATCCGCGTATTACAGGCATCGCATCGCGTCTGGATGCACCTGCGAAATATTATTTATTGCTGGTCAACAACAACAATAAAAAAACAGAGACACGGGAGAAGGAAGAGGAGAGGTTGCTGGAAGAGACAACGGCACGGCAAAAAGTTCCCGCTATGTATCGCGCGCGCTCGGACGACCGCATTTTATCGCGCGGTTGCATCGGCGCAGATGCGCTCGTGCTATGCCGAAACGACAATGCATCGGGGCCGGGGGTTCGTATTTTCTCTCCGTAAAAAAGAGACTTTACTAGATCAAAGAAATACGAAAATATTGACATAGGGAAAAATCGATGAATAGGAAAAGTCGCTCGATTTCAAGTAATGCATTGACATCTTACTACTGATATTTCGCAAACAACAAAAAAATCAATTTATGATTAATAAAATTTTTTTCATGAAAATGTGACATTATGTTTCATATTGGAAAATAAATTATTGTGGTAAAAAAAATAAATCTGTTTATTTAAAAACAAATAGCGAAATATCAATACAAATCGATAATATATTATATTTTAAGTATACGTAAAAATAAATTTAATATTTTTTTTATACATATATAATGAGACAGAAAAAATGTCTCAAGTTGATTATCCTTCTTCGGGTTTACTAAATGAAATTCGAATAGATAAGTTATACGCTCGTCGGATATTCCATCGATCTTGCCACGCAGGCGTATAAATTCATGCAACATTCTAGCCGCTCATCCTGAGAAGTTACTGTGCGCATTAATATCACGCTCGCAACAAGAGCCGAATCTTTCGGATGTTATTACGTAGTCAACCCCGTTGCCAAGATTCTAAAAGATGTATGACACGCGTGCGATGTTGCACACTTGCATGCTACGTCAAATCCGGTATCTTTATACGCGTATAACATTAACCTTCGCAAAATTTAAGTGCTCCCTTTCGAATGCGTAGCATATAATGTCAAGTGCATCAACAAACTTTTGCCGAAATTTGCGATGATTAATCCAAAGAATATTTTTGAAGCTTAATCGAAAAACTTATATAAAAAATTGATAAATTAAATGCCTTTTTTTTACTTGAATGGATACAATCTTTTTCGCCATTGAATGACATACACGTTTCCCGAAGAGCGTTGAAAAAATTGTGCACGCGATGCACGGAAAACTTGCTGCCGGCGCTCAATTACATTACACCTAGCGAGACGTATTAATTTAGCCGACACAGCCACATCTCAATTTTAATCTCGCATTAACCGCAATTATGAAATTAGACGCACGTAATCGTCACAAGTAAATAGTCCGCCAACAGTTGCGTTCCCAGAGGAGACATTTCCTCCGTCTATCCGTTGTCTATCCACAACACGCGATGTAGCTACGTCGCTTAATTTCCTCGATATAAAAACACCAAACCCTTCGATTTGCATTAAAAAAATCATTTCAGCACATGCTGCGCTTTTTTCAATTTTTTAAGTAGCGATTCGCATTTTGGAGAGACATCTCATACGTGAAACATATAGAAGAGCGCATTCATTACGAAAACCCGATTATATATGTATACGTTGCATTATATTCGATATAAAATTCACCGTGCCCGATATCCACGCCAAATTATCGATCGACACGAAAGAAGAATCCGGTTGCGCATAAAAGCCTGCGGCTGCACCGCAAGCGAGCCGAGCAACCGCATCATATTTTTACATAATTAGCACGTGGCCTCCGCGGTATTATGTCCCCCCTCTTTTCTTCCGCGTCCCCGATCGTTACTTTTTGCCGAAGCCCGTGGTATTTTTGGAAACCATCCGCAGATCTATTCCCTGAACCCACGGCTCCCCTGCTCGCTCTTCAACCGGCGCTGTATCATGTTTCTTGGAGGCGAGCCACAGTATACATACATCAGAAGCGTGGCTCCATCCCCCACTCCCGCCTCTCCACCCTCCCCCTTCCACCCTCGGTACACCCCATTGTGCGCCGGTGTATATCCGATCCGAGCGATTCTTATCCTAATTAAATCGGCCGAGCGCATTGTCTGGGCGTAGAGTTTCCATCGGATCTCCGCGGATATCTAACGCCGCGTATAAAGCCACGTCGAGAGGTGGAGGAGGAGGAGGAGGAAGAGGAGGAGGATTGAGACGATCGCGCGGAACCCCACGAGAGTACGATCGATACGCGTTAAATTGCAGATTCGACGACGCGATCGACGTGCATGTACGTACACGCGGTGAGCCTCGAGTGAATATCGGCGACAGGTCGATTGGCAAGGTATACGACGCTTCATTCGATTATCGAGATTCGAATCGTCTATCGGTTAATTTCCCTTTACGTATAACGAGATGACTGATGAAAAGTTGCTGTATATATATATGCACGAGAATTCGTATCAATGTGTATCTCGTGTCTAAATGGTATAAACGATGTTACGTACATTTTGTTTTTACTTTTATTTAAAAGATACACGCACACGTACATGATTAATGAGCTACGTAAGCTTGCCGAGGAAAAATGATCAAGTTCGCGCAACAAACGTAATGTAATAACGATACGCCTGTCTCTCGCTCATCGAAACGTCATCGATCAATGATATATGAATTATGGAAATGTGCAATATTCGGTGAAGCGATACCGCAGTTTCCCTTTACGGCTCGCTTTCTCCAGAGATAAGTTGCTCGTGGGTTCGTTGGTGTATGCATAAAACAATCAAGATAATTGTCGAAGCTACGTGGGGACTGCCTGGCTGGCTGGCTTCCCACCCTTCGCGCGATTCGAGATAGTTGCTGGAAGCGAAGGAGGAAGTAGCGCTTGTGAGGAAGGGAGATGGAAAGCAGGAGCTATCCAATTACATTGAAAACAATAGTCTTAAGTGCTCGTGGCGGTCCGTTCTGGGCCACCCCCGACCCTGCGCCACCGATGCTTTTCCACCGAGGGTTTCCCGTTCCCTTCCCGGGGCTGCGTTATGCCCGTGACGACGCGCACGTTTGACTTCAGAAAGATATTGCCTGCGGAATACTGCATAAGAGATAACATACTTTCCGTCCATTTCTCAGAGATGCTTTCCATTACACCCCGTGGCTGTAATTTTCAAATGCAAACCCTTCCACCTTCTTTCATATTACTTTATTATTTTCAATTATCTTAGTGTGGAATAAAACGTGTTAATTATTTTTTTAATGAGATTTATTTGTACGTATAAAATTACGACAATATTATCGATAGCATGTCTACGATGAAACAATTTGCTCGATTTTTATTCCTTCATCGAAAAACAAATCCTAGACACGAAGAAGAGACGACAAAGGGAGGCAAAAGCGACGAGAGAATGTATAAACGCGCTGTGCTGCGAGGACCGACGGCACGATTCGGTGGCCAAACAAGCGATAAAATGAAAATGAGCGGTAAAAAGACAATATGAAAACCATTTAGGTTCTCCCGAGAACTGGGGTAGGAACGAGCCAGGCGGAAGCGAGGCTAAGTGTGTAAATGAGTCCGTAGTTTAGCCCGATTGCCTCTAGACGACCCCTTTCCGCGGTGCGCTAACCTCATCCATGGCCCGCTACCCTGATAGCAGCACCGGCGTAGCTGAAATAACCGTAGTCTTCCTGAGGAGCAAACTGCTCCCTAAGACAATTCTCGAGACAATGAGATCGTTCGTAGCCCGAATTCAAATCAGTACAAATAGACGATGGATTAAATGTCTGTATTAGATGCGAGGCCATTTCCCGAATTGATAGCCATCCTGATGTTCCCGGGGCCATCTTCGGAATTATTCAATTACGCTACTAGATTGAATAATGCATCAATATAACACAGAATGCATCCTGACCTCTACTTGCAGTAATTTACGAAATAGAGATTACTAAAATTTTCAATATTCTCTATTGTATATAAAGTTATCTTTCTATATAAAAATCTACGCTCGATACGGCTTGTTACAGACAGAGATTCCTCGTCATCTTCCTCGTCTCAATCACGCTAGCCGCGCATCGCTCGGTGATCTCTACTCGCGAGTATGACAATTCGCTGGCGCATCGATTCAACGACGACGAGAACCGCGCGCGTGCTGCGTCAGATCGTCGATGTTGAAACGAGCGGATAGATGCACGCTGGAGCTATTCCCGGCCCCATGTCTCTTCGTGTCCTTCGTCGTTCCGGGATGTTATCCCGCGATAATCGGGGCTCTCCCGGTGCCGAATGACACGTCGATGACGACCACGCTGCTGACTCCGACTAACGAGCGGGGCGTTGGGGGCGTGGGAGCCACCAGAGATCGCGCCTCGTCATCACGCGCTTGGGGATCCCCTCTTCCGCCTTTCGTCCAGAGAATTCATGTCGAGAGGATGAGGTCGCGGAGTACGAGGAGGTCACTACGGGTGGCTACGTCGACTCCACATCATCCGATCATCGACCGATTGTGTGGATCGGACGACTACAGGGAGAAGGAGAGAGAAAGAGAAAATCGACCGATGTGATCCTTCGTGACTGGCGAGCTGATAAACGAAGGGTAAACGCGGTGAAATAAATGACGGTGGTCGCGATGCGGATTCGTCTTTGTCAGAATTGCGAGGGATTTAAAGCTACCTAGATGGGAGTCGCGCGCTCGCAGAAGTGCTGATTCCCAAG